GTTTAGGGTTTAGGGACCCTTCACCTGTGTGGTGATAATCAAGAACTTATCGGGGCGCCAGCAGGATGAAATTGAAAAACACCCAGACAGATACCCTCAGCTATTCTCCCACTTCTACTGGTAAGGAGTCTAGAGATTCCAACACTTACCATCATACAGATAATAATGAAGCTAGTCATCAAAACAATAATAATAGTATACTAAAAAATGTAATTGAAATACTGGTAATAGTAATAACGGTGGGAGTTTCTCCAGAGAAAGGCACCTTCGGGGGCCCTAGCAAGACATGCCCACTAAGGATTATTGGGACGCTACTCGCAGAAACTCTTCTTACTACCTTTACAATAATTAGCACTACTATTAGTCTTATGATAACTATTTTTAGTATTACTATGAATATTATTACTAGTAATTACCATTATTACTATTCATACCAGCACCCGGCCTTCTGCATTCTGTCTTTCTCTTCCTTCATCTTATCGGCAGGCATTTCTTTGATCTCCTGCAAGGCGCAGAAGCAACTGTGGCACTCAAGGGCTCGGTGCGCGCCTACATGCGCAGGGATTCCCTAAAATGTGCCCAGGATTTACTGGGTTGCTGTTAANNTTAAGGAACTTATATTAAGTTACCACAGTTGGTATATGTAGTAAAAAAAATGGGGTTGCCCCAGTATAGTAACTTAAATTAAGTTCCTTAATCCCCATATTCCCCCAGTTTCCATTTCATTTTCCATTTTCTTTTCCATTTGATTTTGCATTATAAGGGGATAATATAATAATAACTCAATTTAAGTTCCTTAACTGCAACCCTGTCCTCGATCCCTGAACCCTAAACGCGACTGTCCTCCAGGTAGGCGTTGTCCTTCTTGTCGCAATTCCTGGGTCCCGTGATGGTAACCCTAAACCCTAAACCCCTAAACCCATGAACCCTAACCCCTAAACCCTAAACCCCTAAACCCTAAACCCATGAACTAAACCCCTAACCCCTAAACCCCTAAACCCTACACCCTCATTAACTTAAGTTCCTTAACAGCAACCAGATTCTCCCCCGTGTCGGGTACGCATGGCAGCTTAGCAGCTCGCTTTACGAACTTGTTGAGTGCCTGCTTTAGGGTTTAGGGTTTAAGGTTTAGGGGTTTTGGGGTTTGGGGGTTAAGGGCTTAGGGTTTAGGAGCTTAGGGTCCCCAAAATTAGGGGTACCATTCTGGGGGTCCGTATAAGAAGGACAATAATATATTGGGATCCATAATGGGGTCCCATAATTTTGGGAAACAACCATTTGAAGACGCTGGTAGAAACCGGCTTTGCATTGAGACATTCGGGGATAAGGGCTTAGGCTTCAGGGCTTTAGGTCTTTGCCACCCACGGCTTAAGCCCTAAACCCTAAACCCTGAACCCTAAAACCCTAAACCCTGAACCCTAATCCCTAAATCCCTAAACCATTCATCCCTTAACCCTTGCTTGTTCTGTGCGCCTTAAGGTCCCTGGCATCTTCGTACGGATCCCCATCCGGCGAGGTGCTCGGGCTGAAGTACTTCAAGGTAGGATAGCCTGTGAAAGGATTGCTTGCTAAAATATGGGGTATATTATTGGGGTTATACAGGGAATAATGGAAAAGAAAATGGAAACTGATAGAATATGGCTTTGGGTGTATTATAATAAGATCCCCATATATCCCATATTCTATCTACTTAAGGGGGACCATAAGGCGTTAGGTTTTCAGGTGTTTTTTTGATTCCCTCAATCCAGGGTTTAGGGTTTTCAGTTTAGCGTGTGGGGGTTGGGGATTAGGGATTAAGCTGTCGCGTTTAACCCTTTCGGATACGACCTCTGTGGCAGAAGCCCACTTAGGCCAGACGTTGAATGGGAGACTCTTAGAGGAATCTCTAAACCCCCCCAAACCCTAGACCCCATTCACATAGAATATGGCTTTGGGTATTTTATAATAAGATCCCCATATACCGCATATTCTATCTACTCAAGGGGGCCTATAGACTCTAGACTCTAAGCCCTACTCGCGGTGTGCTGCAGTATGAGGCTCGACTTCCCAAACCAAACCCTAAAATTTCAACTCCAAACCCTATACTTACTGGTTCCTAGTAAGGAAAAGGATATAAGATAAAGGGGTTACATATATTCTGTTTACTTCTTCCCTGCTAAGAACCAATGAATAACCCTATGATACCAACAGCTGGAACTGGCTTTCAATTCCTGAGCAGCTGCCACGGGCCTTGAACTCCGTACTTGCTGCAAAGGTCTTTGGCCTGCGTATGTGCCCAACAATGCAATTGGGTATTTTTGCAAAGCATGCCCTAGGCTCCCCCAAACCCCCCTCCCGGCCCTGGTTTGAAAGCATGACATGCTGTCGAAGAAGTATACGCTGAGCAGGGATGATCCAACAGTATGGTATATACTTCGGGGGGCAACAGCAGAAACATACATGAGCTATAGTCTAAACTCCTAGTATCCCCCTTAGTAACCCCTACCATAGTCCCTTATATAATCCCCTACATAATCGCCCTTCAAGGAGTTTAGATTCTGGCTCACATAGGGACCTTGGACCCTAAACATAATCTCTCGACTGGCTCACCAAAGCGCAGTGTCAGGCAAGCGGCGTTGTCCATAGTGCAATCCACGTCAACAATAACAGCGTTTGAGTCTGGCTTGTTCCATTTGGAAGCAAGCTTGTCCTTGGCTTAAGACTTTCGGTTTAAATTAGGGCATTTTGCTAAGGTTGCAAGAACCACCCCTTTTTTGCTAGCTTAGAAAGAGAAACGTATACAGCCCGAATTCTCAGCTGCTCCCAGACTTATTCTTGTCCCAAAGTCAGAAAACGGGCGTCTTCCTTTGGGTTTTCAGTTAACTTTGCAGCAGACCCCTGCAGCTATGTCGCCGGGAACGCCTAAAACCGAAAACATTCCGAAACCCAAGACCTCCTGTACTTCTTCCCACCCAAGCCCACACAGCCCTTCTCTTACTGGCTCTAAATAGGGAATTTTCGGAAGAGATCGCAAAACAGCCCCAAAAACATGCTCAATAGCATGAGTAGTCATCCATGTTCTTTCCATGTCGCCATTCCCTACTAAGCCCTAAACCTGAAACTCTAAACTCTAAACCCTAGACACCTAGACCCTAAACCTTAAACCTTAAACCCTAAACCCTAAACCCCTAGACCCTACACCCTAATCCCTATCAACCGGTAAGCCCTCCTGGAAGCTCAGGCGCCCAATCAGGTTTCAGCTTCCTGGGTTGCTGTTAAGGGACTTAAATTAAGTTACTCTATTGGGGAAACCCTATTATTTACTATATATACCCATTATGGTAACCCTAAGCCCTAAACCCTAAACCCATTATGGTAACTTAATTTAAGTTCCTTAACAGCAACCCAGATGGGTGGCAGCCCCGAGGCTTAGAGCTGGCTTGGAACAAGAACCAAGTAACCCAAA